GAGGGAGGGGGGAGAGGAAGGAAATTTGAGGGAGGGGGGAGAGGAAGGAAATTTGAGGGAGGGGAGAGGAAGGAAATTTGAGGGACGGGGGAGAGGAAGGAAATTTGAGGGACGGGGGAGAGGAAGAAATTTGAGGGACGGGGGAGAGGAAGGAAATTGGGGGGAGAGGAAGGAAATTGAGGGGGAGAGAAGGAAATGAGAGGGAGGGAGAAGAAGGAAATTGGGGGGGAAGAAGGAAATTGGAGAGAGGGAGGGGGAGAAGAAGGAAATTGGAGAAGAAGGAAATTGGAGGGAGAGGGGGGAGAAGGAAATTGACGGGGGGAGGGGGAGAGATTGACATCCATCACACACAATGCACCCCTTGCACACAGAAAAACACACAATGCATTACACACAGACACACGTACACAAGCAATGCATCCCTTACACACAGCAACACACAATGCACCCCTTACACACACTCAATGCATCCCTTACAGACGCACACACTGCATCCCATACATACACAAACTCATCTTGCAGCCCTTACACATACAAACACAGATTCACACAATGCATTCCTTACACACATCAGGACATCCCCCACACACACACTCCACTCCCTGTGAACAAACTCATTGGTGGAACATGAAGGTGGACCCTGGGACCCAGACCTTGAGCTGTGTAAAGGGCCCTCAAAAAAATGGAGCTGCTTCCCGTTCTCCCAGAACAGTGATTTTTGTGACCACAGTTACAAACCGCCTCTAGAGAGCCTGTTGTACACCAGACCAGTGGAGCCAGACGGCAGCTAGAGCCCATCATCATCCTCATCTGGTTGTAAGTAGGCAATCTAGTATATTATTCGTGGCACTAATCTCTAATTTACCTCACATTAAAGGGACACTATAGTCCCCAGAACCATTGCAGCTTAATGTAGTGGTTCTGGTGTCTAGCCTGTCCCTGCAGGCCTTTTAATGTAAACACGGCGGCACTGCAGCACTGGTGTTATTTAACATGGCAGATCATATGGGTGGGGCATTGTGAAGTGCCATTCTGATGGGATTCGGGGGGGGTGGGGGGGGCAGCACTTTGGGCGGACTGGGGGGCTGGGGGGCCCAGACCTTGAGCTGTGTCAGGGGCCCCAACATTTCTGATGGCAGCCCTGCCCTCTTTCACCACAAGTATAGCAAGTAATAGTAGAGTCATCTTTAATTCTGAATCTCTAAATCACATTGCTTACTTTTAACACTCTGGCATCATTTGAACTAGCATAGTACTTTTTGGTAACGTCAATGATTCAACTGAAATTTTTTTAAATTGATGACGTCAGAGGTACGTTTTTACCAACCTAAAACATGTTTTTCTTATATTTTGTTTGTTTGTTTTTCTTAACCTTAAAGGACTACTCTATGTAGCAAAGCAACTTTAGCTTAATGAAGCGATTTTGGTGTATAGATCATGCCTTTGCAGTCTCACTGCTCAGTTCTCTGCAATTTAGGAGTTAAATCACTTTTGTTTCTTCTTATGCAACCCTAGCCTCACCTCCCTTGGCTGTGATTGACAGCCTCTAAGAAAACATAGTTTGATTTTCATCAGTACAATGTGTTTACTTTAGAAATTTTTATCTCCTGCTCTGTAAATTGAACTTTAATCACAGACAGGCTGCTGTAGGCTCTAGCAGGCAATTAACAGAGCAGGAGATACACAACTCTAAATTAAGCAACATGTGCAATAAAGTAAGTTTAAACATTAGATGTCACTTTACAGGAAGTGTTTAGGAAGGCTGTGCAAGTCTCATGCAGGGAGGTGTGGCCAGGGCTGCATAAACAAAATGGTAGAGAATTGAGCAGTGAGATTGCAAATGTATGTTCTATACACCAGAACCACTCTATTAAGCTTTAATCTAAAGTTGTTTTGGTCCCTTTAAACACTACAAAAGGTACTTTTCCATCAGCTTGCATACCATGAATGGCAAATGGCTTAAACGATTCAGGCAAACCCTTTAAAATCCTTGCAATTAGCAATCTGTTAGTGTTTCTCCTGCATTTGTTAACTCTGTAATGGCTGTCTCTGTTTTTATAACATAGTTTGTCACACTCTCATTTATGCCTCCCTGAGAGTGTGATATATTCAATTTAGTATATATAACTGACTATTCTGGGATTTCCCTTGCTTGCATAGTACAATCTTAATATTCAAAGCACTTCTTCCATTATCAGTTGCCTCTCTCATTATTAAAACAAGACTCTTATTGTCTAAAAAAATGAATTTTTGACATGAAAGGATGACCCCAAGCAGCATAACCGCTACAATGCCCTGTAGTGGATAATGTGCCAAGAGTGCCTTGGCACTCCCCATATGTAAGTAGTCAAACTGTTGACTAACAATTTGACTTCTTCCCCGTGGCCACCTGATGCCGCTCCCTGCCTACTCTCAGCCAGATGCTCTCAGTCTGAGCAAAGCCTGGTGGTGTGGGGCATAGCTCATTGGCTAAGAGCAATCAGTTGACACTGTCAGCCAATGAGCTGTCCCTGCAATACAGCGCATAGTGCAGTAGAACTAACATAAGCTCCTAGCTTCTGGCTTTCTCTAATTGAATGAGAGTAGGCAGGGAGCAGACTCCTGCAGGTCCCAGGTAAGTACAAAAACCATTGACTTGGTTTGACTATGTGCATTGTAGGGGTGCCAGTACAATCTTGGCACCATATCTACTACAGTGGTTGGATATAAAAATAACTAGGTAATCTGATTAAAATGACAATTAGGACACAAAATAATTTTTAAAATCGCACAGCATGAGTGTGTCTAACAATGCTATTTGACTACAATATTGCAGGAGGCACTTGTATAGGAGCATCGAAGACTGCGAATGGAGTGTTAACACCCAAAATGTAACTTTTCTGGAAAATTAATATACATTTAATTTTATCATCAACAAAAAAGGTTAAAAAGAGTAAATATTTCCAATAAAAGATTAGCGACCAAAGGAATTGTGTGCAGTAAATTTTATTCAGCAATTAATTCCTGCCATTAGCAGGGTACACATAGATCATTTGTTGATATATTTATGCTTTCTTTGGCACATGCTGATGATGTGCACCATTAGAGCAGTTACAATTTGGGCAATGGTTAGAAGATGATGAACTGCGGTGGTAGAATGAATGGGACATGTACGCAGCAGATGCGGCAGCAATCATGGGCATTGAAAGCCAAGGATTAAAGAATGGTAGTAGACTAACCAGGTTAGCCTGGGCTGCCAAATCTTGATACATTGATGGAAAGCCTGGAAACCCCATCGCAGGGTTAAAATGGTTACTTTGCATTGGAGGTAAAACTTGAAGCAAGGATGATGACGCCATGGTTGTTGAACCAATACCATAGGTGTTATTGTGATTGCTGGAGATGTTCTGTGAATCAAATGGAGGCAGCTGACTAAAGTCAAAATGTTGATCCACTTCGGATTCTAATGGCCTCACAGAACTGGTTAAGGATGTCGACGGACCATGATGCATTGGCAGAAAGGGTTGCTGACTTACATTTGGACTTTTAGAATAAAATCTGCGCACGTCTTCTTCTAGAACACTTGTCTGTTTGCACGCCTTTTCTACATTTTTAGGAGCTTCATTGTCCACGCCTGGCTCCAACAAAGATGTAGCTGTGATAGAATTTTTTATTCCAATTCTTCTTTTCATCCTTCCTAACAGATGTGGCTCATCTCTTCTGAAATTTGGGTTGTGGTAAAATTGCATCTAGAATACAAAATACATTTTGTAAGGAGACACAATATATTTTTTTGTGCATTTAGAAAAGCTAGTCAAGGACCGTAGACACTTTTGTCATTTGGATTTCAATTTGCTAGAATTTAGTGTGAATGAATATGCGCTAAAATAGCATGAAAGGACTCATCTAAAACCAGGGGAGGTCTGAGACAAATTCTCTCCCTCATTAGGATCCCATATCATTCCTACTGACATCCGTTGACTTATCAATCTAGAAAGACTTCACAATTTCTGCAGTAATTAGCCTGTCCTTCACTTCTGAACAAAAAGTGACCATCACTTTACTAACTTGTGGCGTGAGGAGGTTGTGGAACTTTAACCTGTAGTGCCGTATAGCACTATTGTATGTATTTAAACCAATAATCCTTTATTACAATCTTTTTGTGTTCTTTATGCATGTGTAAAGCATTGAGGTATCATGACATGACATATGACTCTCCATTTTGATGGAGTACAACAGAGCACCATCAGAAGTATTTGTGCCAGTAGCGTTTAGAACTAATATTGTCTCTCATAAAGCAGATAAAAAGGAAACTGTAGTATATCTGTGATCTCCAGAAAACTGTGAATGTTTTAGTACAAATAAAAGGAGTTTTAAGGCTGTATTTGGACATTGAAGAGCTAATTTTTTTCTATTGAGTATATTACCTCAGCATTCTAACTCGAGGCTGTCCAACTCTAGTTCAAACAAAAACAGTGAAAATAGAAAATATCGACAAACAATAACAGGGCACCACAGTCACTATATAGTTACCAGTACTGTGGAGTTCATTTTCATAGACTAAATTGGATAAAAGTAGATAAAAATAGAGAAAACAATAATAAGATAGCAGTATCCAATTTATTGCAATATTAAGAATAAAATAAATATATTACACATATCAACTCTAGTTCATCATTGAGATAGCTAGTATATTGAGCAGTTCTACATATAAACAGGAATCTTAACCATCATATGAGTGAAAACCAGGCAAAACAGACAATATCATTGTTCAATATATTTGTGTTTCAGGGGAACAAATCACATACATAAGATAAGCTGACAAGTTTCTCTTTTGTGAGCTTGAAGGGACACTATAGTCTGCAGAACCACTACACCTTAATGTAGTATTTCTGGTGTCTATAGCGTGTCCCTCAGATTGAGCACTGTAAATTGAAAAGGCAGTGTTGACATTGCTGCCTAGTAACACCTTTAGTGGCAGTCACTCAGATGACCACCAGAGTTTCTTCCTTGTCCAGTGCTACGCAGTGTCTCCACATTCCCCACAGAGATGCATTGATTTAATGGTGGTGTTTTGCTGCTCATGTGCAATAGCCATGGGAAAGCATTGCCTTGGCTGAGATCATAAAGACTGATGAGCTTAGCCATGGAGACAAAGCCAGCTTATCCATGCAATCTTTAAAGGGGCCATGGACCTCATTAGTTTGTTAAACACTATAGTGTTAGGAATACATGTTTGTATTCCTGACCCTATAGTGTTCCTTTAATCCAGCGGTGCCCTACCAGTCCAGGATTTAGGGATTACCCTGTTGTGTCCAAAGTGTTTTTTTTTCATCTTTTTTTCTAAAAAAATAAACAAAAAACACTATAAACACAACTGGGTAATCCCTAAATCCTGGACTGTTAAGGGTTACTTGAGGACTGGGTTGGGAACCACTACTTTAATCATATGGGAGAGGGTGAAGTTGTTCAAGGTACTAAGAAGTATACACGTGCAATTCGTTTAGTTCCGAATGTACATTCGGATGAATTTCGTGCAATTCGGAAATTCGGGTGCTTACAAATGTCTGAAGTTCGAATTGCTGAATTTCCATAGTGCCGAAATGAACAGAATTACCGACGTTCCAAAGTGCTTCGGATTTCTGAAAAGTGGTAAAACAAGTGGTTATGGTTAGGGGTTAGTGTCTGAATTGCCGAAGTTCCGAATTGTCGAAGTGCCGTACCGAATGCCATTTGTCCGAATTACCGAAGCAGACACATTGTTTTTTTACTTACCTGAATTTCCAAAATAAACCAAATTTTTTGCCCATGCACATCCCTACTAAAAAGAGGAATTTTAGGTAAAATTTAGGATTCAGCACCAGTTAGAAATGTGTGAATTCTTTTCTCCTGTTATCACTTTATATTTTCCAACGCCCCTACTAAATGAAACGTGCCAAAACTGAAATCACACTGACTCGAATTCTACATTCGGTACCAGATGTACGACACCACTCAACAAACAAAAGTTGTTTTTTTTTTTTACAAATATATATAAAAAAAAATTTTAAAAAATTAAGCCATTTGCCAGTTTAGCAGACATTATATTGAATGGCATAGTAGTTCTAGGGAAGTGCATCAAAATGTCCAGATTACCTATTAATGACAGTCACACAGCACAGCCCACTTCTCCATTCTTCTTGTAGAAGAATTCAGTTACCTCCACTCATTTAATCAGAACCAAGGAGAGAAATGCTCATTGGCTGAGAGCAGCGGCTGAGCAATTTCAGCCATTGAGCACACTCCAGTATCTGACCTGCTTAGCTTAGTACAGATGTGGCTTCTCTTGCAAGGGGACCCAGGTAAGTAATCCAACAATTTTAACCCCTTAAGGACACATGACATGTGTGACATGTCATGATTCCCTTTTATTCCAGAAGTTTGGTCCTTAATGGGTTAAAATGGTTTGACAGATTATAATCACCACTGTGGGCTGTAGTGATTATGGTGCTTGGAGAGTTATTTTAATAAGCCCAGTCATTACAAATAACTAATAGATTAATGACTATTATGAAAATGTTTTAGAACACTGAGCCATTAAGTGAAATCTTTTTAAACTTGCTGGTTGAACTACACAGGATTATTTACTAAAGCATGAACAGTTAGGAATTCAAAGAGAATTTAAAACATTAGACAAACATTCTTGTGATTTCAGTTTAGCTATTTTGGCACAATGAATGAGACATTCACACCATTCAGGTTTTACAAAAAAAAAAACTATTTTTTATGGGTTGTTACTATTTATGTGGCAGAGCCTAAAAAGGACACTATAAGCACCAAGACAACTTTAGCTTAATGGTGTGGCTTTGGTGTATAGACCATGACCCTGTAGTCCTACTCAATTCTCTGACATTTAGGAGTTCAATAATTTTGTTTATGCAGCACTAGTCACACCACCCCCCGCATGTGACCTACACAGTATTCCTACACATTCACTGTAAAGAGATTTATTGTTTAAACTTCCTTTGTCACACAGTCTGTTTAATTTTGAATTTTTATTTCTCCTGCTCTGTTAATAGCCTGCAAAAATCTGGAAGAGCATCCTATGGGTAATTAAAATTCTATTAACAAAGCAGGATAAAAACTTCTAAAGTGAATACACGTGCTGTCACATCTGATTACTACAATATACCTTTAATTTGAGACAGAGAAGAATTACACTAAAATCTTCCCACTCTCCACCAGGTTCTGTCTGTCCAATCATTATGTAATCTTTAAAGAAAAAACTGTTCTGTTATTCTTGTCTTATACACAATCAGAACTAATAATTATAATGAAATACAGACCTTATGGAATGCTGTGGCAGATCTCTCTTCAGCTAGGAATTCAGCTAGAGAAGCAGATCTTTCTATATTGTGTCGAACTTTGACAAAACCATAAAGATTCAGCTGACGTATAAAACTTTTTATAGAATCCGTTTCAAATATTTTGAAAGGCATTTTTCTTTCCAACACCTCAGCCTTAAACAGGTCTTCGTTAATGACCACACTTGTTCCATGCTCATCCCAGCTGATTGATTTAAAATATTCACTTTCCACAATTTGCCACAACTTTCTAGGAAAGTTCATGGACAAAAACCCTTTCATGTCACTGTCATCAACAACATGCTTTATTTTGCCATTGAAAGTTTGGACATGGCCTTCTTCTTGTAGGGATGGGTGCTTGTGGTTCCTCTCTCCATCATAGTCATATTCTTGTTGAACTGATTGTATATTTGGATCTTCCGTGCTAAATGTTCCCTCACAAGGAGGATCCATCTTCTGTCCAGTGCCTGGGCAGGCAAATGAGACTTTAGTGAAGAATTCTAGAACATCACAATTAGAAGGTCACATGGTCAGTGACATCATAACCACTTTTGTAAGAATGTAAATGTCAATTATCTGTTAATGTTTTGTTTTTTTAAACAGCTAAAGGTTTAACAAAAACAATTGCATCTATTACCATTATCAGTGGTGACTTTAAATTGGGACACGCAGACTTCCCCTTTGCAACTTCCATAGTTTTTAACTATTAGTAGTTTTAACATAAACTGCACAGCCCTGTCTGAGTGCAACTCCAACTACTCTTGTCTATGCTGGAACATTTAAGATTAAAGGGAACTTTAGCCCTAGTACTAACCCAAATTTTAAACAAAAACATGTATTATTTATATTAATTTTAGGAAGGCACCATTCAGTTGCATTGTTTGTAATACATATTTAGTATAGTTCTGTACATCTCATATATATATATATATATATATATATATATATATATATATATATATATATATATATATATATATATACACATACACACACACACACTAACTATATGGACCAAAGTATTGATACACACCTCTTAATGATTGATTTCAGGTATTCCCATCACTCATTCCCACAGGTGTATAAAATCACCCCAAGTCATGCTGTCTGCATTTAAAAATATTTTTTTTAAAAGCGGGTCGTTCTGAAGTGCTCAGTGAATACAAGCGTGGTACTGTGATAGGATGCTACATTTGTGTACACACACACCAAAAAATTTTTTTTTAAAAATCACTCACCTTTGGGATGAACTGAAATAGAGACTGGGAGCCATTCTAGCCCAACATCAGGGCCTGACCTCACAAATACTTGACTGGATGAATGGGCAAAAATTCCCACAGAAACATTCCAAAATCTTGTGGAAAGCCTTCCAGCCAGAAGAGTGGAAGCGGTTATATGTGCAAAGGGGGGACCAACAACATATTAATGTCTATCTATTTAGAATGCAATGCTATAAAACTACAGTTTGGCACTTTCCTCCGCAAAAGAATACTACTTCAATACCCTCATAACCATGCTCTCTCCTGAGAACCCAGACGCCTCTTTCACACTGTTAACGCTCTTCTTCACCCTGTTGTTGCTGCTCCTCCTCCTAACTTGACCGCTAAAAACTTTGCAAAGCATATCACTGAGAAGATTTCCGAGATCAGAAAAGATCTCCAATCTCTCTCTTACCCACCAATACTTACCCCAATCCCGCACCCTCCTCTGATTTATGCTCACTTGCACCAGCTACATGAACAGAGGTTCCTGCTTTGCTTCGGTCCTCCAGCCCCACTACTTGTTCCCGTACATATCACTCGTGCTCTGTCTCCTCTTACTCTGGCCCTAACTTAAATATTCAATCTCTCCCTCTCCTCTGACATGTTTCCTTCACCCTTCAAGCATGCAACCATCACCCCGATTCTAAAAATTCCCATCCGTGATCCCAACTCCCATCCAATTACTGCCCTTATCTTTTGTTATGCCTGAAAGGAGCATTCCTCCTAAAATGCATTTCTTGTACAGAGTAGACTCCTAGGTAAACCGAATTACACAAGTAATAAGAGTTAGGATTGCTTTTAAATCTCCCTGTAATAAAGTTGCTGACAAGATGCACAATAGACATTTTAGATTTGCCAGTGTTAAAGGGCACTAGTTACTTTCTAGGATTTCTAATTATGTGTACTAATCCAGATATAGAACAGATATGTATTTTCAGTGGTTGGAAAAGTATCATTAAATGTAGAAGTCCAGAAGTCTTTATCCTGCAACCGGGTGCACCATCTTCTTTCGCTCCTAGTCAGTCATTGTTATAAGCTCTGTCCTTTGCACCTGGCAGTAAGTACAAATGAAGATGAAACAATGTTTCTATTTCTCCACTTCATGAGTCACAATGGGGTTGCCTTGTGTAAACTCATTATTATGAAATGTTAAATGTAAATTTAACAGAAAACAGAGCACCTCATGAAATAAAGGTTAAGGGGACACTATAGTCATCCTAGCACCTACAGCTTATTGTATTTGTTCTTGTGCATATAATGATTTCCTTCAGGCTTTTTTCGCAGTAAATACTGTCTTTTCAGAGAAAAGGCAGTGTTTACATTACAGCCTAGTGATAACTTCACAGGCCACTCCTCAGATGACTACTAGAGGTGCTTCCTGGGGCAGTGCTGCACAGTGTGACTGACATTCAGTGTCTCCACACACTGAACTTTCCACAGAGATGCATTGATTCAATACATCAATATGAGATGTTTATTGGCCAGGGATGTGTTTGGCTTGTGCTGTCTCTGTCCCTGATCTGCCTCCTTGACAGTCTCAGCCAATCCAAGGCTTTCCTATGAGAAAGCATTATGATTGGATTTAAAACACAACTTCTGATGATGTTAGCCAAGCAGGAAGATCAGGGGCATAGCTACCAGCAGACTGCAATAAAGTTAAGAATTTGCTATATTTAGTGGGGTAAGGGTGGTAAGCAGGGAGCTCGATGTTGGTTTTAACACTGCCATTATTTTTAAATTCTATACAAAATGATCTTTAGCTCATGATGTCAAGCATAGGGATACATGGTGGAAGTGTGTGTGTAAGCAATTACAAGGAAATGCCTTCTCTTAATACATTTTCCTTGATCCATGGGTTCAGTGCTTAAAATCAATGGCAAACTTCATTTAGTGACATGTAAGCCTCTGAAACAGGTCTGGGAAATCAGGCCATCAAAAAGTCCCACAAAGCCTTTAATTAGTTTGTGTTCCTTTAAAAGGACACTATAGTCACCAGAATAACATATTGTAGTTGTTCTGGTGTCTATATCCCATCCCCGAAGACTTTTTAATTTAAACACTGCAGTTTTAGAAAAAATGCAGTGTTTACACTATAGCATAGGGCCCTAGGAACACCTCTAGTGGCCACTCCTCAAACAGCCGCTAGAGGTGCAGCTCTGCATAGTGCACATAAGGTGAGTTTTTACTGTATTTTAGCTGGACCAGGGGGGCTAAATAGTGTTTTTAACACAATAGGATCAGGAATACAGGTTTGTGTTCCTGTCCCTATAGTGTTCCTTTAATAGAAGTTGTAGGTGATTTTCAATGTTTTATTTGATGGTATAAAATCCAGAGAAGTTTCTCTTTCATTGGTGCGAGGTCCATGTATGTCAATTTGGTTTTCAAACCGATTTTTAGAAATGAAATAAGAGGCAAACACATGCTTTTTAGACATCAAAAGAATTTACTGAACACACAGTAGTTACATCTCCTGTTATCATGTAGAACTAGAAAGCAACATTTTTTCATAGCCTAATAAGTTATTAATATTCAACTCAATGACTTATAGCATATTACATGAAAAGGTGATTTTAAATCAGTGTGAAAATAAGGAAGTACTGGCATTTTTTGATGTTTACATATTTTTCCGTAGCTTTTAAAATGTAAATTGACATATTCAATACATATATGCATTTTCTTTTTACAAACACGGCTTACTTAAAAAAATACTTTGTATTTTCAATTTATACTGTACAGAAGGATAATTTTTAACACAATATATTACATTGCTAAAATGCTCTTATAAATACTATACATCGATGAATGGATCAATACCTTCGACAGGATGTTCTTTAGGTGTTGCCGATAGGGCAGATTTTAAGTATATTTCTCATTGCATACAGAATAAGCATGCAGTAAATGAAGGATTCAACTGTTTTGAGAAAGATTGAAACTTAAAACAAACCAATTACAACACACAGGGAAAGAAATTGCCTATCCCCAACCTAAAGAAAAATCCATATACAAGATACATTCCATGTTTAAAAGAATACAAGGCCTCTTCCTTAAATACTACCTTTTTTTTTTTCAAGTTAATGCATTTGGATTTTCAAACTGAAAATCCCAATTAAAAAACATATTTTCTAGTGGTAAGATGCAAAATATGCGTCCGAGCATGAAGGATCACTGCACAAGTTGTCTTCGAAATGTATAATATCTGCTCTGCGTAACAGAGAAGAAAAAAATAGAAAGAGGGAACATGTGGAAAAAAAAAAAAAACCTTTAAGAAAGATTTAATTCAAATAAGAATAATTCAGATTTCAGGGAGACTAAGAGTGAAATGGACCCTAGAGGAGTCTCCAACTGACAAAGTGACACCAGAATTTATAAGGGTTTGGAACTTGACATACACAGATGTAAAAGTCAGTTAGACTGTATAAAAAAAACAAAAAACAACCCCCCCCTCCAAAATAACAAAAACAAAAATGAGGTCAGTAGCGTTTACAGTTACACTATGCAGCCAAAAGCTGCTTTTCCCTTCAGTCCACAACACGTGTGCATGTACCTACAGAAGGAGGTCATTGATGAACCCATGAATACCATATCAATTCACCTTAATCAGGCATATCTATATTTAGTTTTGGAGGTGGTACTACATATTTGCCTGGACTTTGCGTGATAACCACACCAGTCTTTTTACGAAACATTGGAGCTATCTTCGGTGGTTCTGGAATAGGTGTCTCTTCTGCGTCTTCGCTGTCCTCGTGGTGTATATCGTAAGAGATATTGCCATATTCTCGAAGGAAAGGAAAAATCTCTAGTAGGAACTGACAAAAGTCTTTACGGATTCCAAACCACCCTGTAAGAGAATTCATTTTGGTCAGTAGGATTTAAATTTGTTGAATTAAAACCAGATTTCCAAGTCTTTCTTTCACTAAACAATCGTAAGCTTTAGAATTGTATAAGAGTCACATGCTCTTACTGCGTGAAGAAATTATAGCAAATAACATTTCACTTGTCATTATTTTTAAATTCTATACAAAATGATCATTAGCTCATGATGAGAGAGAGAGAGAGAGAGAGAGAGAGAGAGAAAATATATATATATATATATATATATATATATATATATATATATATATATTTTACAAGAAAATGCCTTCTCTCAATACATTTTCCTTGATCCATGGGTTCAGTTCTTAAAATCAATGGCAAACTTAATTTAGTGTCCTGTAAACCTCTTAATAAAGTGTAGGAAATCAGGTAATTGAAAAGGCCCACAAAGCCTTTATCAATTTAGAATAGTGTAAAATAGAATAAAATCAATGTATTCCATTAAATCAGAAAACATCTAATAAGGGCAATTTAATTCCTAAGCCAGAGCGAGAGAACATTTTATTACACACATTTTGACTGACTAGAAACTTTATTTTTGGTAACCATTTCAATAAAAAGAGAACCACAGCAACCGTTTTAGGACTATAAAATAAAGAGCACTAGATAGCACTTATAAAACATTTATAGGTAAAAGCAGAAATGACCATGAAATTAATGATTTTAGGCAGATGTATTCAAATGTAACGATGGCACCATATATAAACTTTCACTCTCCTTTCCAAATGTATGTCAATGTTCATGTGTAAAATAAAAAGCATTGTATGCAGGTTGCTCACAACTGTTGCTTTAAATTAATTAATTTAGATATAATTTTACTTACAGTGATTCCCTCCTTTCTGACCAAAGGTGGTTGCCATTAGAGTTATTAAAGAAAGCCACAACGGTACAAATATAGGAATATATGAGAATAAATTATGCCCATCCAATCGGTGAACAAGTAAAATCTGGAAAGGGAAAAAAAAACATTAAGAGTTTAGCTCAGTTGGTTCATTTAAAAGGTTTATGTTAAAATGAATCTATTGTTGCAATCTTGTTTCTATACGTTCATTATGCCAGTTTAGCTATATTGTATTACTGAAATTATGCTTCTGGTAACGTTTTCACAGGTTAGAAGCAAAATAAGCAGAGTCTCTATTACTCTACTCACTACACCAGTTATCATTGAGAAAGAATAGTAATTCCAAACAGAAATTTCATATCTTATGTTAAAATATCCATTTTGGAAAAGAAGTTAGATTTTTGTTTAAAACATGGTTTAGTGATGGTGTTGAATAAGTGATGGTTTAGAAAATAAATGTGTCATACTATTTTGTACTTCTGTGGATAGAAAATACCAAATATGGGGGCTAGCACACGAGGAGGCCAACCTAAGATGGATGGAGAAACTAATGCTCAAAGAGCCACTCTGACCCAATCAATCAATCAATCTGAGAGACAGGTGCATTAAAACTGCCATAATGGATGGGCTTTAAAACAGGGGTCTAAGTCCTGCAGATCTTTATACTTTACCAGAGCATTAGAATACAGAGCAAAAGTGCAATTTGCTTAAAAATTATGTTCTCTTTTGAATATTTGAAGTAGACATGCGCATGTTTTGTTGTTCATGTTTTTACTGATAAGAACTATGTTGCCTTTAATTAACATACAGCAGACAAATTAATGTAAACAAATTATTTTATCAAGCATAATACTTTGTACTAAAAAAAGGGGCACCCTCAGGGCACCATAGTGGTCCTTTAATGTAGGTGTTCTGGTGAGTATAATCAGTCCCTGCAGGCTTTTTGCAGTCAACACTGCCTTTTCAGAGAAAAGGTAGTGTTAACATTACAGCCTATGGACACCTCCAATGGCCACTCCTCAGATGGCTACTAGAAGTGCTTCCTGGGGTAGTGCACTGACATTCAGTGTCTCCACCTTTTGCATGGAGACACTGAACTTATAAGTTCTTATAAACATGCATCTCTATGAGGGGATGCGGATTGGCCAGGGTGACATTTGGCTCAACCCCCAGCCCACCTCCTTGGTTGAGATAATCAGAATTGACAATTTCAGCCTATCCAACTTTGGCAAGATATATCTCACTGTGCTGGTTCTAAATTAGTGAGACTTGGCCTAATACAGAACAGTGTATAACCTATGCAATATTCGCACTACACAGACCACATTTTTCACCTGGTGTATTTATATAGAGTTAAGGTCGCTTTAACAGTCTTTCTTTAGTTGAGTGTAGGATTAAATTTAACATCAATACATATCAAAATCCAGTTGTATGTGCTACCCATATATGTATGCATACAGCTGAATAAAGTCACAGTGACATATGGTGGTTTAGCAATTTCCAAAACAGATATTTAAATGAAAGAAGCAGCATACCTCAAAAGTCAACAACGGAACAACTATGGCCATCCAGCTGACTGCCATAGTGATATGTGTTCTCCTCTGTTCTGCAATAACATCCATGGAGCGCAAGAACAGGACAGACCATACAATGTAATATAGAACGACTAGGCACAAAAAGGACATCAAAATCCAGAGAGGGACACAGACGACCTGAAAAGGGAGAACCAAGCCAAACGATTCACTGACATTAAGCTCCAGAAAAGTGGGACATTTGCAGATCAGGAATCCTGGTAATGTTGCAAATGATCTTAAATTTGAGATACAGATACGAACGTTTCCCAAATAAAGCAAAAGAGTAACAACACAAGACTGTAAATCACATTTAATATTAGAGATTTTAAACCATAACTCACCAGCCAAGGCCACGTGATAATGCTGTCAAGTCTTAGTGCAATGAATATAAATTGTAAAATATTAACAGAACACAAGATCTCCAGCTGCAAAGAAAAAGGAAGGAAATGGTTATACGTCCCCTAACAAACCGACATTAAATAACATTTAAAGAGGATCTGTTACTTTTCAGTATTTCATAAGGATGTATTCTTTATGAAATACTGATCCAGACTGTGTTGGGATTTCACTTAAATTCCAACTTAAACCAATGACACCATAAGACAAAGTAAGGACTACTTTGTCTTATGGACAAGCCTGAGGTTGACAAAAGTAAGAGCTGTGTTGTCAACCTTTGTTCAATTCCAGCAGCTGTCAAAACGTGATGGCTGTGGGATTCAGGAATGGCCTGTGATGTTATGAGATCCTCCATGAGTACAGTTACTGATGCAGCTCCTGACAACTTAAGATCCAGGAACTGAAGAGGACCTGCAGGATGAAGTTGGTGGACAGCCTGCACATTGTTGAAACACAAAATGAAAGAGTTAGCAGAGTCCCCGACACGTTGCTAAATCTCTTCAAATATTTGAGGTTTTATTACATCTCTAAGGGGAATATTTATCAAAGTATTCCAAAATTTTTTAGTTTTCCTCATATTAAATCACAGCAGTTTTGATTCTTAGAAATAAAATGTGCTTTTTATATAATAAAGGGCAGAACTAAAGAGCCACAAAACGCTTTTCATTTTAATATTGGAAACTTTAATACAGGCAAACATTAGAAGCAAAAAAGCAGATTGAGGAGAAAAACCAGGAATTTACCTTTTAAAATGTCTTTTTTTACCCAAATTATCCTAATCTCTGGCAGTGTGATACAGCAACCTACATTGTGTGATGCAGTAAGAAATTATGACTCACCACCTTCCCTTTTTATTTTATAAGATTAATAGAAAGGAGCCTATGTAAATTGAATTGTACCCATTTCTGATCAAAGGCTGGAAAAACCTGCATCAACCTCAGCCACAGCTGCCCCCGACTGGCTGGGGCACACACTAATGCCGCATATAAAAGCAAGCCTGACTAGCAGGTAGACAGTGGCGAGCTTAGTGGTGTGTATCCTCACAGACATAAACACAATCATTTTAAGCAGTAAACATCTATTACAACTTACTTCCAAAGACCTGTCATGCCTGAATCCCCATACACACGCAGCCACCGACACAGGTGACACAAAGAATAATGGCATGAAAACCAAGAGCCAGAAATAGTGGTTTCCTCTTTCAATGCGATCACAGACTAAAACTTCAAACATAAGGAGCAGTAAGTGAATGCCCACTGCAATGAGCATGGCTTTAAACTCCACACAGGTTTCGCCTTCTGCCCTGTAGGGTTAAGAAGAAAAAAAATAAATAAAAGAAACATTAAAAAGGTAGTAGAAAGATATGAATACAGGCACCATATCTATGCACTCTTTGCTTACAATACAAGGGTTAAAGGGACACTGTAGGGAAAGTGCAATTAGCTAAAGTGGTCTGGGTGCTGTGACCCTTTTGCACTCAGTACCAGAGAACTGCAATGTTTACATTGCAGCTCTAAGTCTGCCCTCTGTGGCTGTCTAACAGACAGCCACTACAGGGCTTCCAGAATCCAAACTGGACCTCCAGTGTCAGATTTACCCCATACGAAAGTATTGAATAATGCATTCCTATGGGGAGGTCTAATGCGCACTCTTCACACATAAAGAACTTCAGCTTTTAGAGGTTCAAAGTGTCCCTTTAATGAATATTAATGTGAATTTACTAAAAATGCTGAAATTTCTTTTCAATTCAATACAATACACTTTTTAGTGAATAAATCCCACAATCTCTCTCTGATGGAGTATACATATTTTAAAGGACCACTCTAGGCACCCAGACCCCTTCAGCTTAATGAAGTGGTCCGGGTGCCAGGTCCAGCTAGGCTTAACCCATTATTTTATAAACATAGCAGTTTCAGAGAAACTGCTATGTTTATGAATGGGTTAAGCCTCCCCCCAAATCCTCTAGTGGCTGTCTCATTGACAGCCGCTAGAGGCGCTTGCGTGATTCTCACTGTGAAAATCACAGTGAGAGCACGCAAGCGTCCATAGGAAAGCATTGATAATGCTTTCCTATGCGTCCGGCTGAATGCGCGCGCATTCAGCCGACGGGGAGGAACGGAGGAGGCTCGGAGGCAGAGAGCTCCCAGCCCAGCGCTGGAAAAAGGTAAGTTTTAACCCCTTTCCCCATTCCAGAGCCGGGCGGGAGGGGGACCCTGAGGGTGGGGGCACCCTCAGGACACTATAGTGCCAGGAAAACGAGTATGTTTTCCTGGCACTATAGTGGTCCTTTAACTACAGCAAGAGTAATCCACACTACTAAACAACATAGAAATTAAAAACAACATGCCAGTTTAATACACTATTAGACAGGTTATTTACAAACAAAAAAAGCTTCCTTTGAAAATAACTATGTATTTGGTTTTTATTAAATACATGATAGAAATACTCTGAGATATTCCAGTATTTGTTTAAAATATTTTATATAATTTATGGACAGATTTTTGGCTAGGTTTGTTCATATAAACGTTAACCTGCATCAAAAAGTCCAGACTTTATACATTACATATTTTGCAGTACTCTGGCCTTGGCATGTGATGCGATCAAGTTATGGTAAACACCACAAACAAATTGGAACATGTGTGATGGAAGCTAAATGGAAGAATGTAGAAAGCTTAATGTAGGAAGGGTTTGTACTTATGTATTTAAAATATATATATATTACAAATATTTACTCATACAAACTGGACATTATTTTACAAGTGTACTGCCTAAAATATGATCAACACACCTGTATTGCGGGTTCTTTGCCCAAACGCCAGTACCCACCGAGGCTCCAACAATAACCATTAGTTTCCAAAGCCATATTGGTGTAAACACTGCCCAGTAACTCCATTGAATAATACCGTCCAGCCGCAGAGACAGAAGAACAGAAAACAGCAACAAACAGGCATAAATAAGGAATTTGCTGGAAAACACAAAGCAGAAGAAATGTTACTTGGTGCGTGGATTTTAATGATATAAAGTCAAAAAAGATTTTATTTAAAAAATGTTCCAATCTGTTTTAAAGATGAAGTTCCATCTACTCTGCTTAAAATATTTTATATGAAAGGGGATTAGTCACTGAACTGTGCAAAATTAAATCAAACTAGTTACTTTGAGAAAATAGCAATGTCTCAAGGAAGTATTTTAAAGGATATCTGTCATTTCTAATTAACACGATATTTTCAGAGCATAACATTCTGTCTATACATTGTGCTACCAATTTTATAGTTTGGGAGAAAACCCTATTTAAAACTAGATTTTTCTCCCACTTCTCAGTCAAATTTTCAGCATAGTCTCTTTGCTGACAATTCGACGGACAACGGAGAGCAGAAAAGACCTCCCACAGCCGATGGACTGTGATTGCTATGGTAACTCCCAAGCAAACGCTGCTGGACGCTTGCTAGGGAGTTTTCAAATTGCCAGTACTTGCTGTTTGATGAAGAGGACCTGCAGCTTATCCAAATGATATACGCAGTGAGAGGTTTTCTGTTAAAGGGACACTATAGGCACCAAAACTTTAGCTTGTTGAAGCAGTTTTGGCGTATAGATCATGCCTCTGCAGCCTCACTGCTCAATTATCTGACATTTAGGAGTTTAATCACTTTGTTTATGCAGCTCTAGTCACATCTCCTCACAATACTTAACACGTCCGGTAAACTTCCTTTTGCAGTCTGTTTTATTTCTTATATCCTGCCTTTTAGATCATGCAACAGCCTCCTCTGTGTGATTAAAGTAAAAAAAAAAACTTCCAAAGCAGGTTAAAGTGGCACTGTCACAGTCTGGGGACTTTGCAGAATTTTCAAAGACCCCTCGACGGTAACATTGCGGTTGGGGGTCAGATGGCCGGGGGAGGGGGACAGGTGCGAAAGTTCAGCATTGAAGGCAATGGAGAATCCCTGCAGTCGCCCCATAAGTCAGACATAGAATTACTGTGTCTTGTGTTTTTAGTTAGAAGTAATAATAAAGTATTTAACCAAGAATGGTACATTCAGATTACTCTGGTTTTCAAGTACGTCCTGGCGATCCAGGGTTGTTACTGTTCATCAGAAGGATGAAAGGAAGGCTGAGTCAACCCTGCTGTGATTAGAACCTGCAACCAAAGGTTGAACAGATTCTACTGATGATGCATTAGCCCACTGAGCTATCTCACAGGCATTAAGATTAAAAAATGGAAAAAAGAGAGTAGAAAATAGGAAGTGATTGGGTAAAGGCAAATACGGTGTGACAAGGCAGTTTTAAGGTCTAATTTCAAATTAAACTATTTTTTTTTTAAAAAGGTCTTTATACAGGATGTGCGGCTAGGGCTACGTAAACAGAAACAAAAGTGATTTAACTCCCAAATGGCAAAGATTTGAGTACTGAGACTGCAGATCTATACTTCAAATCTGCTTAATTAATCTAAAGTTATTTTGATGCCTATAGTATCTATTTAAGATTAAGAAGAAAAAAACAAAACAAAAACATGCTTTAGGCTGGCTGACTCCATCAATTTAACTTTTACTCAGTTGAATCATGAACACGTAGAATAGAGGCCAAACAGATTAAAGCCACATTTCTTCCTTAGCTATACATTTGCAAACAATTATGTGCAAAGAATCTGCTGTACTTAGCAAATCTCTCCCAAACCCTACCAACAATCATAGTTACTTCTTATTGCCTAACATCTCGCTTCTATGATTTGCTTGCCATTCTGGGAAAACGCAGTTAAAGGAACACTCCACTGATTTTCTTTTTATTTCTTAAGCTTCTTTTAACAGTGACCCCTGCAAAAGTTAAAATACATGGATGGGTTGTATTTGCAATCATGGCTGCAAGTTTAGATTACATTCTCAACAACCAAGGGTTAGGCAAATCCTATTGTATAAAAGAAACCGTAAATTTAGGAGCTACTATTTAAGATATAAAGCCAGAGAGAGAGGAAAGAAATAAGAAAAAGAAAGGCTCTGATGCGATAAAAACATAGTATAAAATATTAAAATACCTAGGTGTTAAAGCAAATGAATAGTTAATAGTATAAAACACTAAACAAGAATAATACAAAATAAGTTAATAAATAAAAACATGAATTAGGGTAGATAAGGAAATGACAATATGTGTTCCAATCCAACTTCTTGCATATACCACCTGAATTCAGCCAACAACGGAGACCAGAGAACGCCTAAGTTGGACCGAGTCACTTAGGATAGAACTTACCTTTCAATGAGCACATGGGAGCTCCTTGCAGGAATTTTCACGCCCCAGACAAAGAAGTGACGGGCACCCAGCAGACTCCAGATAAGTTGTCAAACTATTCACAAACAATATGACTACCTACACTGGGAGGGCTTGGACACTTCTGGCACCAATACCACTAGATATTATGGTGCCTGGAGTGTCAAGAGAAATCTGCACTTTTATAAAGTGTTTAGTTTGCACCGTCCTCGCTAGTAGAAAACATTTGAGGGCTTTGCAAAAGAAAACATTGATTTTAATGCTTCTCTATGTGATGTGCTTCTCCTAGCAGCGTGGAAATTGTCACGCATGCCATCTTCATCCTAATGTTTCTATATGAGAAGCATTCTACTTGCCAATAGATCATCAGTGGTAATCTCGAGGCAGGTGGATTGAAGCGGTGACGAGGGACTGTCTCGCTGGTGGATTAAAGGAAAGTTGACACTTTATTTTAAGTGAAAAGGGGGCACACGTAAATTGGCAATACAATACTCCAGTATTATACATAATTTATTTTATGTAGAATACTCAAGTGTTTCTTTAATATCAATTTTAATGAAATTAGAGCAAAGGGGGAAAATTGGTTAGAAACCTACAGGTATTTTTAAAATTTTTTTTTTTTTCCAATGATGTAATTTATGACAATTCCCCTTTAGCCTCACTGCAAATCTATTAAAGGATCAAACCTGAATTCAAAAGACACCAGCCCCTCCTCCTCTTTCCTAACTAGGTCTTGCCTTTAGTACTTCTATTGCACTAGTTCAAAAGAGCAAACCGCTGCCCTGGCCAATCAACATCTCCTCATAGAGATGCATTGATCCAATGCATCTCTGAGGACAGTTCAGTGTCTTCATGCAGAGGGTGGAGACGCTGAGCCAGTACCCAGGAAGCACCGCTAGTGGCCATCTGAGGTGGGCACTGGAGGTATCCCTAGGCTGCAATGTAAACACTGCCTCTCTATAGCAAATAACATCAGTGGCTCTTAGTGATCATTATCCTTTTCTCATCCCCTACATTCCATTATTCTTGCTTCCCCAGGCCACATTCCTAAACCCTTACCACCCATGGTTGGGTCTTCTCCTAGTCTTTATGCCCTTTATGACTAGACTGTACAACTGCCAGGACCCTCTCCTGATCCTCTAGATTCCATAACTATGTCTTTCCAACCCCAGGCAAGTCTCTTGATTCCCTATATTCCATTGTGCCCAGGACCCTCTCCTGAAGTCCAACATTACATGACCACCAGGACCCTCTCCTGAACCCCTACATTGCATGACCTCTAGGACCCTCTCCTGAACCCCTACATTGCATGACCTCTAGGACCCTCTTCTGAACCACTACATTGCATGACTCCAGGACTCTCATTAACCCCTACATTACATGACTCCAGGACTCTCATTAACCCCTACATTGCATGACTCCAGGACTCTCATTAACCCCTACATTGCATGACTCCAGGACTCTCATTAATCCCTACATTGCATGACTCCAGGACTCTCATGAACCCCTACATTGCATGACTCCAGGACTCTCATGAACCCCTACATTGCATGACTCCAGGACTCTCATGAACCCCTACATTGCATGACTCCAGGACTCTCATGAACCCCTACATTGCATGACTCCAGGACTCTCATGAACCCCTACATTGCATGACTCCAGGACTCTCATGAACCCCTACATTACATGACCTCCTGAACCCCTACATTACCATCAGGAACCTCTCCTGACTCCCCTTATTCCATGACCAACGGGGCCTTCTCCTGACTCCCCCCTTCCCTCGTATTCTTTACCCCCTGGACTCTCTCCTGACTCCCTCCATCCCACTGGGCCCTCTATGGTCCGCTTCTCCTTATTGCTACCTCCATGCCTAGGCCTTCCCACCCCGTGTCCTGATCCCCAGCGCTCTATGATCCCAGAGCCCTCTCTCCGGATCCCCAGCCCTCCATGACTCCCGAGTCCCCAGGATCCTCTCCCGATACCAAACCCATTATAGCTCCCGGCTCCCCCGGGTCCTCTCCCGATACCAAACCCATTATGGCTCCCGGCTCCCCCGGTCCTGGGGACTAGGCCGAACCCCCGTCCGGCACTCTCCTGGTCCCCCCCGCTATCTACCGTCCCTCGGCCTCCTGGTCTCCCCGTGTCTCCCCACCCTGTCTCCCCGGTGTCTCCGTACCTGGGGTTGAAGTCCTGGAAGAGGCCCCTGAGATTCATGTTGTGATCCCAGTTCCGGTCTCACTGCAGCTCCGGCATTGCGACCAGAGCCAGGGCCCAGCCACCGTAAATACACCAAATCCTGCGCAACATCCGCGTAATAGAACGCCCGCAAACACTCCGACTGCGCGTCTATAGCAGTAATTACGGCACACCTAGCTGTGCGCAGAGTCGGGAAGGGGAGTGTATAATAACAATAATATTTACAGTAATTGCAGGTCTCATAGTGCCATTCATTATCAAACTATTAAGGGCAACCACGCCATTAAATATGGCTAGCGCCCTCTGGGTATTAATTAATTCAGTGTATGCAGACACCCCAATGCTAACTCACAGGGGTACAAATAGATATAAACATACACACACCATCCAGCACACTTGCCATGTTTCTAATTATTCCAGATGATGACCTATCACATTATTACTACTATTATTATTTTTAATTATTATTATTATTATTATTATTATTATTATACTTGTGTAGTAAATCCAGCACTTCATTTTATTCTCCAGGATATCTCTGCCTGCCACTGTTTTCACCAGCAGCTGCTGTTATTTCTATTATTATTATTGTTATATAATTATTTTGTGCTTATCTGTAACATTTTGCTGAAAAGAACACAATCTATTAACCACTTGCCACATTGTTAAAAATGGGGGGATTAGAAGACATATATCTATTTGTATCATATTGTTATTATGAGCTACAATCATGCTGATGTCAGAATGACAGAAATATGTTTACTATGAGTATGTTGTAATTCCATTGTCCTTTATAACAGGGGTGTGTTGAGGCAGATGAACCTGGTACCAAGCACCTAGGCAGCAGTCAATGACAAGGCAGTTCTCTGGCTGCAATATTTTCCTGTTGTTTTAGAAAGCTCTCTGTACCAGACACCAGCAAGAAAGTTCACATATGTACTGTGCTGACCCGGTGAAAGTACTATTACAGAGTTATTCAAAAGTTTGAGAACTGTCAGGAATGCAAAGGGAATTTCAAATTTCAAGGGGCATTATAGTCACCATAATAATTACAGCTTGATGTAGTTCTGGTGAATACAGTCAGTCCTTGCAGGCATTTTTATATAAATAATGTCTTTTCAGAGAAAAGGCAGTGTTTACTTTGCTCCCTAGGTACACTGACAATGTGCAGCACTGACATTCAGCTTCCTCGTGTGTTTCGTGTACTATGCTCTGTTTCCCATTCGGGAGCGTTCATACAAAATGAACACGTTCGTCTCCCGAACGGGGACCATCCGGTACCCCATTAAAATGTTCACACCAATCAATTAGAATGTTCGCACCTTCAACATACGTGCTAAACCGCAAGGGAAGTAAATAATGAGTGCTCCCCTGGGTGGCCGCCATTTCGTATAGACGAAAGCCAACCAGGGGAGCATTTGTATCCCAAAAGGAGACGCTTCCCTTGCGGGGTCTTCGCACCGGAACTCCATGAACGGGTCCTTGAGGTTGGTGGGGACACTTTTGGGGTACTGGCTGTTCTGTTCGCCCTATCTACTCCTAATAGAGCCTAATCACTGTCCGGGCTAGTGACTGCCCAAAGAGCGCTCTCTCCGGTGACACCTATGTGGAGATATCCACCGGAGAAAGACGCAAGCCCAGCAGAGAATCCCTGGAACTGTGAGTCGGCTTCACAGCTGCAGACTCCCACTGGCCGCCTGGAAGTCTGTGCCGACTGATAGGAGAAGGGCTGCCTTTCAAACTGGTTTTGCGCCCTTTCTCCTGATTGGCCGGCGAAACACTTCCCTGCCCCGAGTGCTGATTGACGCAATTTGGTTTTGCACCCTTTCCCTGATTGTCTGGCGGAACACATCCTCTTCCCGAGCGCTGATTGGCGCTATTTGGTTTTGCGCCTGTCTCCGGATTGGCTATTTTGAATTTGAATTCGCCAGACTAAACCAAGCAACTATGTGGAACTAATTGCGGGGATGTACAGAGCCCTGAGCCCGGACTTTATACAATGATTTCTTGGGCTCTATACATCCGATAGCCCTGCTTTTAGCAGGGATCCTAGTTGGGGTATATATATGTACCCATTTTCCTTCCCAGGGCACAGAGCCCCCTAGGTTTCCCCTATGTATGTAATGTGTCCTATTGTCTGTAAATGTTGTGCTGTTGGTATCTCCCAGAGCAGGAGATGGTGATCTGCAAACCATCCACCTCCAGCCTGGGACTGAGGAATTTGTACTAAATAGTATGGAGACCCCCTTCGGGGGTCTGTGTATAAAATAAACCTGTACCAATAAAGCATTGTCAGTGTTGTACTCCCAAAGCTGTGTGTCATCCAGTTCCTGGGGGAAAGAGTTAATCACTGTTCCAGCTCATAGGGAATGCAGCGGGGAAAGTCCTTGTAAGGACTAAGAAGCACCCAGGGCTGTGTGTCATCCAGCCCCTGGCAGCGCATAGAGTTACTCCCCTATCCGTTCCCCAAATAGGAAGTGGTCCCTGGCGGAGCTACCCAGCCGGGTCACAGCTAGCTCCGTCACAGTGTTCATGAATGATGCTGGGCCTGACAGTTCTGTATTCACCCTGAGCAGGAGCCTCAGATATTATATCTCACGTAGGGCCTGCCGTACTTCTAATACTGTATTATTTATACATATTGTTTACATTTGCTGATATATTACTGGTCCCTGAGGAAGTTTCTTTATAGGAACGAAACACATAGAACCTCTGTGTTTTATCTATTACAATATTGTGACAAAACAATGTATTTTATTCTCAAAATTACTTTCTTTGCGTTCAGTAGACAAATCTACCGAACACTTACCACCCCCATGGTGGTAACGAACAACACGTGCTGGAGAAAACAGTGGCCATCTTGTCACATGAAAGCAGGCAGCGGGACTTGGTCGTCGAGTGTCTGGAACTCTAAGTCAGACATTCGACCTCGCGAACACCGGCCAAACTTCACGAACGCTGCTTCTTTCCACAACAAGCCAGGAGAGTGCTGTTCGGTAGGAGTGTTCGCACGAACAAGGCGAACAACCGCTACCTATGAACCGGGGAACCGTTCGTCTTTTTGTTAGTTTTGGAACTCCCGAAAGTGACTGACCGCTACCACTGATTCTATGGAACTAATTTTGGCAGGCGCCACGTATGCGGTCTGTCAGAACTTTACCCTGGTGGCGATTCGGCTTTGTTCGTTGGACAACTGGCTGCTCAGATATAATATTTGTTGAGGTTCCAATATGTGTTTTGTGTATTTTTTATATTTTATGTTTTATGATTTGGGACTCCAGTGCCTGGGAGATAATTAGTTTAAGCAAAGTACACTAAATTAGCTCCCAGACACAGAGACTCCGGGGCGTGTTGTGGGAATGTCCTGGGTGTGTTTTGCTATGCTCTGGCTTGAGACCCCCTGCTGGTAGTCTGTGTATAAAAGTGGGCCATCTGGCCATTATAAAACATTCCTGTTGTACACTGCATCAAGTCTCGCCTGATATTTTGGTATGTGACCGACGAATCGCTGGATTTACTTTGACTAACTACATGGATTTTGGGAAAATACGAATCTACATTCTATGCGAACAGGCTATAATCCCAGCATTTCGGGAGTGAACGTATGAACGGAGTATACAAAATACAAGACGTTCTTTACAAAGATATATTTTATATTGTTTATGCCATAATAAAACTCCTTTTTTTGGAAACCTCAAATCCGGATTCTGGTCTGGTACCTGGTTGAGAGCAGTGACCTCAAGGAAGCTATAGCCCCCCATCACCTTCTTACACGTCTGTGAGTGAACAATTTTACACTATAATTTCAGTTTTTAACAATATTACACTGTTATACTTGTTAATCCATATTTAGCTATATATTTTAGCTGTATCCCTTTGTTTGTTTGTACATTGAATTTCTAATAATACTGAAAACGACATAAGACCAAATGGGGCTAATAATTCTTAAAACGGGCATGTGCTGTAAAAGAGAGGATACATTTAGGGACACCAGTGAGGACAGGTCTCTACTGCGAAAGAAAAGAGCACAAAAAGACAGCAGGTTTGGAAAGCAAAGATGGGAAAACAGGTCATGAGAACCCAGGGTGACCAGCTGTGTCTTGGAATTTTGTACAACTTGGAGCAATTGTTCCAGGACCCCAGAGTAATGGTGAGAGCGGAATTTAGGGTTGTCTATACAAAATGGCTCATTTGTAATAGCATGTTAAATGCTGTATTCATTAAAGTCAGGTGGCCTTGGTGCCTATAGTGTCTCTTTAGTATTTTAGCCTGTTTTTGCTATTTGGATTTTAATATGCTAGAATTAATGAGCTTAATTAATGACCATATGTGATGTATTCACCAAAACACTGCATTTTAAAGATTTGAATTGAATTGTTAAAATAGCCAATCTGTGACTACAGCTTTGTTGGAGAATTTTCTCCAATCGTTTATCATTTGTGGCTATTCAGGATTTATTAACTAAGCCATGCGTTTTTAATGACTTGAGTGACGTTCGATATACATAGCTTTACTCTCTTCAACATATTCACAAAATAGATTTCAGTTCTCTTCCCCTTTGCAGATTCAGATAAACATAGAGAGTCTTTTCCATATGAAAGCTGTGTGTTCATCAGATATTACACATTGTATCCAGTGAAACACGTGCTGGGGTGAGCCAATCAGACTCAGATCACATGACAGCCCTCTAGGAAGTGAGCTAAAGTATGGAACGTTCACAAACAGCAAACAGGATACATAGTGACACAGTGTCCCATCATCTCTGAATGGAGTGACTGTCAGTATGTGGTACCTAAATGGCTTCAGCCTTGGGGAATGGACACTCTGCCTGCTTGCCTGCTGTGTCCCTGTTACTGGATCATCTGCTGGTGGCAAGGGATCTGTGCAGGAGGACACAGTCTCAGGTCATCCTCTGTGTGTCATTGTGTTAGCTGTACTTGCTGTATACTTGTAATGATGTTTATTATGGCAGGAATCTGTGGATTCAGAAAGCATGCTGTAGATTGAGCTTCGAAGTTCTAATCTGTTTCTTAACCCCTTCAGTGCACTGAGACAATTTTGTTATGGTCTCAGTCCTTAAGAGGTTAACTCACTAAGCAACCGAGTAATGAAGCATAGTTAATGTATGTAACTTTATGTCCTTTTAAGG